TAGCAGTCACTAATAATCGATTATCTTCATATCCTAACTCCTGGGGCCTGCCCATAAGATTAATTAACTTGTTTTTCTTTTAAAGAACAATGATTGCTGGGAGCAGTGGCTCATGACTGTAGTCCCAGCACTTTGGGAAGCAAAGACCAGAAGATTGTCTGGGTCCAAGGGTTCGAGACCAGCCCTGGCAACTTGGTGAGACCACATCTGTACAATAAGTCAAAAAATTAGCCAGATATGGTGGTAGAGGTCTGTGGTTCCAGCTATTTGGAAGGTTTGAGGTGAAAGGATTGCCTGAGCCCAACAGGTCAAGGTTGTGGTGGCCATAAGCGTGCCACTGCACTCCAGTCTGGGCAACAGAATGAGACTACTCCTTAAAAAAAAAAGAAAAAGAACAATGATCTTTGGGTCATGCAGATTTCCTATGATTCTTAGATCATGTACACCTCCCCAGTGGCATTCAGAAGTTTGGCCAGGGACAAGCAGTTTCCATCATCAGGAATCTCACCTACTGCATCCCCAACTTACCCACAAAAGCCCATGGTTATGTTGAAAGGCAGGTTAGATCTGAGAGTTTGCCCCTTCCCTTCTCTCACACTTTGGCGGAATTGAATAAACATTTGGCGGAATTGAATAAACATCTCTGTTCCTAAGCATTGATACATTGGTGTTCGGCTCTCTGCCCATCAGGTACTCAAACTTTTGGGGGTTCTATAGTACACCCACATCCTTTCCACCACTGGATCATATGGGATCAAATCCAGATAACATGTCCTTTCATCTGCAGATAGGTCAGTTTATGTTTCTATGAATGAAATTTGTATTATCTCTCACAGACTATGGCTATAAGACATCAAAGAAACAGAAGGAAACTTCTCAAGTCCTAATTTGAAGTCATCCCTCAAGATGAGGTGTGGAAGAAATCATGACACCTTTAATCATTAAGAAGATTTCACAGGTTCTTTGAGACCCAGCAATTTGCACGGGTGCCTTGTTGCACAATGAGCAGAGCACATATACACACAAGGTACAGCGTGGTAATTTACAGGCAGGCTGAAAGGATATAAGATGGAGACACTAAACTGGGAGAGGTGGCTCGCTCCTGTAATCCCAGCACTTTGGAAGACTGAGGTGAGAGGATTGCCTGTACCCAGGGGTTTGAGACCAGTCTGGGCAACTTGGTGAGACCTTGCCTCTATAGTAAATCAAAAAATTAGCCAGGCATGGTGGTCTACACCTGTGGTTCCAGTTATTTGGAAGACTAAGACAGAGGGATTGCGGTGGCCGTGAGGGTGCCTCTGCACTCCAGTCTGGGTGACAGTGAGACTGACTCAAAAAAAAACAATGGAGTCAATATAGCCAAAGAGCAGCCATTTTGACACTGCATAGATCTGTCATGCTTTCTTAGCAAAATTACCTTGCTTGGGAGCTTACCAGCACTTTGGGAGGCCAAGGCGAGAGGATTGCCTGCGTCCACGAGTTTGAGACCAGCCTGGGCAACAGGATGAGACCTCATCTCTACAATAAATCAAAAAATTAGCTGGGCATGGTAGCACATGCCTATAGTTCTGGCAACTTGAAAGGCTGAAGCGGAAGGATCACCTGAGTCCAGTGGGTCGAGGCTGCGGTGACCGGGAGAGTGTCACTGCACTCCAGCTTGGGCAACAGAGTGAGACTCCAACTCAAAAAAATTTTTAAAAAATTAGCTGGGCATGGTGGTATGTGCCTGTAGTTCCAGCTACTTGGAAGGCTGAGGCAGAAGGATCACCTGAGCCCAGAGGCTGTGGTGGCTGTGAGTTTCCCACTGCACTTCAGTCTGTGTGGCAGGGTGAGACTCCAACTCAAAAAAGGGGGGGGGCTCTAAATGACAACTATTTTTCTTTCATGTCTTTGTATTAATTTTATATATAAGGTTTAATAAAGCTTTGTAAATTAAAACTCCCAGAATAAACAAAAACTATAACCAACTAAAAAAGATATAGCCCAAATTATTCACGGCGTTTGTGCTTCTGGCCTTGATATATCATTATCAGTTTACTTATCCACCCACCACCTAGAGTCATGAGATACAGGTGACTGGTGATGTCAAGACACAAAACTTAAGTGACTTCTGCTATCTACATCAAAAATCAAAGCTCTGGACACATTTTCCAGACCAAACTCCCCTTCAAAAATCTTAAATATACTCAGCTCCCCAGCCTTCCAGGTCACACTTGTCTCTGAGTGTCGACCCCCTTTGGATCTGTAAAAGACAAATAATAAACTTTACTTTCTTTTACTTCATACTTAATTACAATCTTACATTATTCCTGTGGCACCGACCCACCTTGTCTCAGTTTACCTTTCAGTTTTTTTCTTATTTTGTTTTGTGTTTTTTGAGTTGGAGTCTCACTCTGTCACCCAGACTGTAGTGCAGTGGCCGGGAGCGGCCACTGCAACCTCCACCTGCTGGGCTCCGGCGATCCTTCCGCCTCAGCCTTCCAAGTAGCTGGAATTACAGGCACGCGCTACCACACCCGGCTGATTTTTTGATTTATTGTAGAGATGAGGTCTCGCCAAGTTGCCCAGGTGGGTCTCAAGCCTGCGGGCTCAGGCAATACACTCACCTCGGCCTCCCAAAGCGCGGGATTACAGACTGAGCCACCGAGCCCGGCTACCTTTCAGTTTTTAAATAGAGATGAGGTCACGCTATGTTGCCCAAGTTGGTCTCAAACTCTTGGGCTTAAGCGATCCTTCTGACTTCACCTCCCAAAGTGCTAGGATTACAGGTGTGAGCCACTGCATCCCACCAGCCATTTGCTTTTGTTAAACACTGCCAGCCATGTGGCTCTTTGAGCTATGGTTGCCATCTTTCCCTAAGCTTCGGCCCCCTCATCTGATTTGGGGAGGTGAATCTCTTCTCTCTCCAATTTACTTTCTAAATAAAATATATTTTCCAATGTAACTTCTGGCAATCCTTTTTATCTTTCCCACGGCACTGCATCACAGATCCCGCTGTCTGGTTTGCCCTAACACAGACTTTTCACAAATCATAGAAAACCCAAACCAGTAGAACAGGGACTCAGGATACCTGGAAGACTTTTAATGAATTTCACTTGTTTGGTTTTTTTTTTGAGTTGGAGTCTCATTCTGTCACCCAGGCTGGAGGGCAGTGGCATGCTTCCAGCCACTGCAGCCTTGACCTGCTGGGCTCAGGCAATCCTTCCGCCTCAGCCTTCCAAGTAGCTGGAACTACAGGCATGTGCCAGCATGCCCAGATAATTTTTTGAAAATTTATTATAGAGATGAGGTCTCGCCAAGTTGCCCAGGCTGGTCTCGAACCTGTAGGCCAGGCAATCCTCTGACCTCAGCCTCCCAAAGTGTTGGTATTATAGGCGTGAGCCACCACACCCGGCATTCAATTTCACTTCTGCTGATAGCTTTTAGAAACCATGCAGTGTCTGTCTTTAGGGAGGGTCTTTCAATTCCAGCAACAGATAAACAAAAAATATATATTTTTTCATTTTAACCAGTAAAAACTTTTTTTTTTTTTTAGTTGGAGTCTCACTCTGTCGTCCAGGCTGGAGGGCACACAGCAGCCTGGAACTGCTGGGCTCAGGCGATCCTTCTGCCTCAGCTTTCCAAGTCGCTGGAACTACAGACGTAAGCCATCACACCCCACTAGTTTTTTGTGATTTATTGTAGAGACGAGATCTCCTCAAATTGTCCAGGCTGGTCTCGAACCCCCAGACTCAGAAAATCCTCTCACCTCAGCCTCCCAAAGTGCTGGGATTATAGGCTGAGCCACGGCGCCCGGCCAGTAAAAATTTTATAATGTTTTTTACTTTGATATATGAACCGCTTATATCAGGAGATTCTCAAAGTGCCAAGAAATCATCCCATCCCATTTCCCTTAAAAGCAAAAAAACCCACAGTGATTGTTGTTGCTGTTGTTGTTGTTGAGTTTTTTTTGTTGTTGTTGTTTTTGAGTTGGAGTCTCACTCCATCGCCCAGACTGGAGTGCAGTGGTACAGTGGCCGCTCACAGCCACCACAGCCTCGACCTGCTGGGCTCCGGCGATCCTTCCGCCTCAGCCTTCCAAGTAGCTGGAAGTAACTACAGGCGCGTGCTACCACGCCCAGCTAATTTTTTGATTTATTGTAGAGATGAGGTCTCGCCAAGTTGCCCAGGTGAGTCTCAACCTGCGGGCTCAGGCAATTCACTCACCTCAGCCTCCCAAAAGCGTGGGATTACAGGCTGAGCTACCGAGCCCGGCTGTTGTTGTTGTTGTTGTTGTTATTGTTGTTATTTTAGTCAGAGTGTCTCTGTCACCCAGGCTGGAGTGCACTGCACGCTCACGGCCACCGCAGCCTCGACCTGCTGGACTCAGGTGATCCTTCCGCCTCAACCTTCCAAGTAGCTGGAACCACAGGCATGCACCACCACCTCTGGCTAATTTTTTGATTTATTGTGGAGATAAGGTCTCGCAAAGTTGCCCAGGCTGGTCTTGAACCCCTGGGCTCAGGCAACCCTCTCGCCTCAGTCTCCCAAAGTTCTGGGATTACAGGCGTGAACCACCACGGTCGGTCCACAGTGATGATTTAACATTGGTTCTGGTGACAGGAGCCCCAACTAAAATCCAGGCTTCTCCATGGGCTAGTGCCACTTCCTTCTGCCTCACTTTCTTCATAAACTCTCCTAAGTCCTCTTGTAAGCTTTTTTGGAAGAAATACATAGATTCATAGGAAAGGACAGGTTTACAAATTGAAATTCTCGGCATTGGATCCAGATCTTCTTGCTTTAGTATGTGGAAGGTCTGTATGTTACTACCAGTGACCTCTCTCGGGTAGAGATGACTGCGGTTGCCCGGGACGAACCGGCCCACAGACCACGGACTCCTGTCCCCAATGAGAGGTCTGGGAAGCCTGGATCCGCATATGCAAAGATTTGGGGGCGTGGCCATCTGGGGGCGTGGCTTCCCGGCTGAGCAGGCTCCCGCCCCCGCCCCAAACTTTAGGGCCTGGATCTACCGGACGGCCGAGGGTGCGTGGCTATCCCCGCAACAGAGCGATTTGGTAAACAGGCACCGCCTTCTCTAGGTAAGAACATATTAGGGGGGCGGATTAATTGAAGAAGCACCATCATCCCTCGGTCACTGTCGTGCCTCGTCTCCCTACTACAAGTTTGGAGATCTTGGGGCGGGTGGGCACCCTCTGCGGAACCGGCGGGAGGAGGCTCCGCCCCACGTCTCGGCGTCCCCACGTTCCCGTATCCCTGTGTCCCCGAGTCCCAGTATCCCTGGTCCCCGCGCCGCTCCCCCTCCGAGCTCTCCTGCCGGCCACCGTGCTGGGTCTTGTCCGAGTAGGCTTGGCTAGAATTCCCGCTTGCAGCCATCTAGAAAAGCAGATGAAATAAAACCACGATTCTGGTAAAGCGCCCGCACCACCCCACCCCCGAGGTTACGCCCTGTGTTCACAGATTTTTAGATGAAAAGAAATTTCAGCAGAGAATTCCAAAACTCAATCCAAGGATGACGAAAAGGTCCTTCTTAGTCAAGAAAGGAAAGGTGAATGTGAAGTTAAGAGAGCAGGGGCTGTATTGAGTACTACTTTAATTGAAACTAAAATAAAACATAACCGCACCTTACAATAATACTGCTGGGAAAATAGCCCAATTCGTCAAATAACATGTGTAACATCTATTTATCAAGTCAATGTGCAAAAGGTTGGAACATGTGGAGTGCTCCAAGTTTGAAAAGGATGAAGAAATAATGTTTTCTAAAAAATACCCTCACTTATGTGTTTTGCTCCTGTCAATATTGAAACTCGTTGGTGTCTCTTAAGGCAAAAAGTGTGTTTTCATTAAGGCATATATATATATATATATATATATATTTTTTTTTTTTTTTTTT